TCGAAAAGGAATTACTTGTTATCATTATAATTGATGGTCAAAGTATTCCGCATTGAATAACAACTCCTGTAGAAATCCAAAGTTGTACATGGTGATACATTTTCTGATGCTACTGGTTCTCTGTTAATGTTGACTTTACTACTTTGACATGGTTTTATCTCAAATTATAATTCTGTGAGCTGGAATTACCTATTCACCTCCATAGATTTTTACTGCCCCTTTTTCCATTAATAATGTGTTTTTTAAAGATCACTTTTTATTGTAACAAATATAAAGTCATCAATGTTTTACAACTTGTCAAAAATGATTTAGGGAAAAATACATTAGTAAAGTGAAAGTTATGTTGTATTATTTGGTACATACTTAATACTGTCAACATGTACACCATATGCCAAAAAAGCTCATGCATTACTGGAAGAGAAAAGAAATACGATATAACTGCTGTATTGTCTGATTTAAAATTCATTGCTTGGGTCGGTTTTCTTTCTTCAGGGATACCATTTTCTTGTAGTGTGCTGTTGAAGATCTGGTGTCTGATGTGGCAAGTTCTGCTGCATTTGCCTCAGTGTCATGTTAGTGCTATCATAGTTGTCTGCATGTAGAGAAGGTATGATTTTCCCCGTTACAGGGCAAAACACAGAAAGAGCGTTGAAAAGGGCCATGCTGTCTTTCTATGCTTGGGCTCAAAGCCCCTTGGTAGATTTCTGAATAGCACAGTGATGTACCAGTTGCATGCCTGGTGTTTGCATGTTTCTCTTTTCTACTCCTTCCTATCGGTAGCACACGATATAAGCAAGTATTAGAAAAAGGACCAGTGCTGCTGCCAAGGGCACAGCCGTTGTAATTAGGAAATCCATGTAATAGTCTCTGTTTTTCAAAGAATCAGAAGAGGGTTTGTACTCTACATCGTTGGCTAAAATTGCCTCTCCATGAATCTCCTTCTGATAGGTGGACACTTGCTTTGCTTTATAAACCAATGAAATTTTGCACTCGTCAATGTAAAACTGAGTATGACATTTTTTATTACATCTTATTACAGGCGCCATGTCTTGACTACATCTCAATTGATTCTGTGGATTTTGAACATCTCATAAACAAGAGGAAAATGGGACATCAGCACCAACTATGACCCTCCTTCAGGCCATTAATGGGAAGCAGACCCGGGCTGCCCCTGTCTAGGGCCAGCATGATGTTTATGGCGTTCAGGCTCTCTGGTGGCCACAGTTTTCACTGCCCCAGAAAAGTCTCTAAGAACCTCACTGGCCACTATTTCTTCTATATTTATATTTTTAATGAAGAATTCTGTAAGTTATGGCAGCAGGAAGTCTTCTGTTGACATTATATTAATTACCAAATTATGTCTTGGAGTCTCAAAGGTGTACCTAGTGCAGGCAGTTATCTCAATGACAGCTGATTTCCCCACGTTTTCAGCTGTTGGAGACCCATCTTGGATTCCATCACTATACGTTGTGCTTTGGCTAATCAAAGCCATCCAGGTCTTTCTGGATAATACACTCAATTTATGTTAAATGCTATGGGATCATTACTAGTCTCTCTAGGTTTGGGGTAAGGTAGAAATTTCTGCTTAAAATACTCTGTTTCCAAGACACAAACGAAGAGAACACCTGCAGATGGTGTACATTCTGATCAGAGTGAACCTTCCTGTCCAAGCACAGGAGTCTCCCAGCTCCCACTGCTGGGGCAACTGCATTCTTGTCCTGGCTAGGCCGGCAGTCCTCGATCTCTCCTCCCTTCCCTTTCTTCTTTCCTCCCAGCCTGACCAATTCTCCCTTTTCATATTAGAGTACATTTTGTCATATATAGGAATGCAAAGAGAACATTACTGGCACTGAGAACCTTGTGGTGTGCTCGTTATTTAGTTTTTGAATGGGCTTTCATACAAAAATAACTGCTTTGTGGGAATTTTTAGATATGAGAAAGCATCTCACAAAGAAATCCCCTGTTATACAACTAATCAGTCAGTGTTTAAAAACCGCATGTGTAGGACATTGCAGACTGAAGAGTGCAAAGCATTTGTTTTTTAATTAAGATTTTAGAGGAAAAACTCATTCATATGAATTAATAGCAAGATTTTTAGCAGGTTGCATAAATGGTGACAAAATTTACATCTTTGTATTCAAGAAGAGTATAGAGTTACTTGGTGAAGATCACTACATATGTTAAATTCTTTCAACATGTGCTATAAATATGAAAGATCTATGGCTATTAAATTGTGAGAGCAAATGACTCATGAGTAATTACAAATACCTGTTCTGCTTCTACTTATCACTTTTTTTTTTCTAAAAAGTAGCATGGAAATGAAATGCAAACACAGCATAAAAGAGTATAACTTCCTGTTAAATGATGCTTTATCATATAATGGAATATTATAGCCTAATTCAATGCAGGTCTAAACCAACATTTGAAGAAAATGAGAATTCCTGAAAGCCAGTAGCCTCAGGACTTGGAAGGCTCAGTACTCTGCATGCTGTTTGTTTGTCTCTTTAAAAACTTCTGGATTTTTCTCCCCCTAATTATTCCTGTAGAATAGTAAAAGACTTTAGATTAAAATGGATTTCACCAATCATAGAAGTCAAAATAAGCAAGTACCTAGTATAAAAAATAGCACAAACTTGTACAAAAACTATCTGTTATAGCTAATGAATGAAATGAAATAAAATATAGCTTCATTAGAGTTTTCATTATCAGTTAAATATATTCTTGGTAATTCTCATCTTTTTGAAGGATTCCCCATCCCCCAACCTGTTTGCTTTTTTACTTTTTTTCACTTGACATCAGTGAAAAATGGATATGTTCCTTTCAATACCCTGTCAAAGGGGAGAATCACTGTCTGGGTCTTTGGACACATGGTCACTTTGCTCCTGAGAAGTGAATGTGTAGCAGCCACAGGGTCGTGGAATGTTGGAAAGGAGGTGACTGTGTGTGTTGGGGTCCTAAGATGCTCTCTGAGGACCCTTGGAACTCCAGGCCTCTCAACAGAGAGCTCGACGTTAGTGGGTTTTACATATTGGCCTTGCAACTCAGATGGTATCTGAAGAAAGATTGCACCTCTTAGAAAAAGACTGAAGACATCCAAGTGAAGAAATAGAGGCTGAAAGTTTAAATGACCTAGGGAAGGGCACCAAGATCCTAAAGTGCTTTGACTCAGTTGCTTGATTGGGCTGAGTTTTATTCTTGTGTTAAAATCTTCTTACATCCCTCCTGTCTACAAATCTTTTTTCTCCCACTCTTTTTCTGAGCTCCTACAGAGCTTAGCTGAACCTGTTTCCCAGGCTTTTCCTGACCGCTCAATCTAAAGTGCGCTCCCCTTCATCCCCATCGTTCTCTTATAGCACTCTGTTCTTTTGTTGCGTCGCACTCATCAACATCGTACCTTTATCTGTGTGTTTACTTGTTTGCTTTTCACTTGAAGAATACTCATTTTAAATTACGTCCAATGAACTGACAGGTAAGAATATTTATATTTATATACTTATTCAGGTATATTTAACTAACTCATATACAGGCACAGCTAGTGAATACCTTATGGTAACCACTGATTCTTTCTGTCTAGAGTACTAATGAAATACTTAGGAGTGAACAGAGCAGAACATAGTTCTAGACCAGGTTCTCTTCTTTGTTTGTCATCATTGTGTTGTGACCTATCTGTTTCCAAGACTTGTCTCATCTGCGTCCATCAGCTTTGACCCAGCCACAGCCTGAATCAGAGCTTGAAACAGTCAATGCGGAGAGCTCTCCGTCGTTTGGATTCAGTGGTTCCAGGTGAGTCTTTCAAACACAAGGATTTCTGTTATGTGTCTATTGTGCTGGACATTACGCTCTTGTTCATACGTGTAAAAGCTTTTAAATGATAGTGGTAAACTCTGGCTTCTGCTTTCTGCAAAATTCCTGTTGCCTACAATATCCATAAATGCTTTAAGGAGAGAAGTTTTACAGTCCTTTCTCACTTTGAGTATAAAGAAGGACACATTACTGGAAATGTCTCTTTGTTAGTGAAAACATCTTTCCTCTATGAGTGGTTCTTATCTCCTGATAACAAATGTCACTCTAAATATCTTTTCCATACCTGAGCC